TGAGGACTTCTTCATTTCAGCTCTACCGGAATGCTTTCTGGCTAAGCGAGTAGCGAAGTCTATTACTCCAATGATGATCAAAAAGTTCCGCGTCTGTCTGTCCGTCTGTCTGTGTGTTTGTCTGTCATCACGATAACTCAAAAACGAAATAAGCTAGCGACCTGGGATTTTCAGGGTGGCTTTGTGTCGTAAAAGAAAGGTCGAGTTCGAAGAAGAGCCTTCTAGCTCAAAAATTGGACTTTAAAACAATCAAAAACCACAGGTCCCTCAAAGAATGTTTTTTTAAAAATTTTAATTTTTACAGTTTCCTCAGTGGTAACTCATCAAAGTAGAGCCCTCTGGGCGAAAATTTCGTCCGTTTGGCTCTATCTTTAACCATTAAGGCGCCACTACGCAAATAAGCGAAACAATGTACAACGCTGCATGCTTAGTCGGATCGACGGGAAGTTGACGGGCCGGAGGCTCGTATCTTTGTGTACATTTTAGCGACACCCGACTCGGGTGTTAGCGCCGCAGGCCTAGGTAGATGTATGCTAGGCGCGTCGCAGCGTAACAGTGTCTCGAGAGATTTCGCGAAGCCTGTTACGCGAGACGTGGTCTGGCGTACATATAGCTAGTTTTAAAACCAACGGTCTCGATTTAGCCCTTAAACTTGGGACAATGTATAACCTGAGTCGGCTCTGAGTCTATCCTGAGTCGGTGCAAAACATTTAAACCCTTTGGGACCTCACAGCAAGCAACTGCTGTCGTCTGCTGGCTCTGTTATGTTCCGTGGCGGTCATCTTGTGGATTCTTTGTTTCTTCTAGCCGCTGGAATACCCCATTAAATTTTTTGAGGGCTGAATGGCACATTCGTGCGACAGCTTATCTTTTACTTTATAAGCAAAGACTGTTGTGCCTCTGACTCGCACTCTCTCCAGGTAGGTGATTGGCTGAGCGATTAGCGAAGCCTATTACTCCGTCTGGTCGGGAAAAACTTTTTCTGCCTGTCTGTATGTCTCCGCATCTGTGTATCTGTCCGCACGAAAACTCGAAAACGAATTTAACGAGCGACCTGGGATTTTCAGGGTCGTTTTGTGTCACAAAAAGGCGGATTGAGTTCGAAGATGAGCATTCTAGCTCAAAAATTGGATTTAAAAAAAAATCAAAAACAACAGATGCCAAGAATGACGTTTTTTAAATACTAGCTATGTACGCCAGACCACGTCTCGCCTAACAGGCTTCGCGATATATCACGAAACACTGTTACGCCGCGACGCGCCTGGCGCACACAAAGCTAGGCCTGCGGCGCTGACACCCGAGACGGGGTAAGAGAAATGTATATACAATTTTTCGAAATGAAATCTTTTTAACGATTTAATCGAGCATTTGATCATTTTCACCTCATTTTTGTCAAGCAAAGCCCCCTAGCATCTAAACGGTACAAAATAGAGCCAAATGGTCGAAATATTCGCCCGCAGGGCTCTACTTTGACGAGTTACACCTAAGGAACCCATAAAAAAATATCTGATAAAAATACATTTTGCGACCAGTAGTTTTTGATTTTTTTAAAAGCCAACTTACTTTTGAGCTAGAATGCTCATCTTCAAACTCGATCTGTCTTTTTAGGTTCCAAAACGACCCTGAAAATCCCAGACAAACAAACACACAAAGAAACAAACCCACAAACAGAATGAAACTTTTTCGGTCAGTGGAGTAATGGGCTTCGCTAATCGCTCAGCCAATAATTTTTTATGGTTTCCCAAGGAGTAACTCATCAAAGTAGAGCCTTATAGGCGGAAATTTCGCCCGTTTTGCTCTAGCTCAAACCGTTGAGGCGCTAAAGGGTATTTTTGACGAAAATAAGCGAAAAAAATTTACAACCCTGTATACCTAGTCGAGGTGACGGGCCGTTGACGGGCCGTAGGCCCGTATCTTTGTGTTCATATTGCTACTACCCGACTCGGGTGTCAGCGCCGCAGGCCAAGGTAGATGTATGCCAGGCGCGTCGCAGCGTAACAGTGTTTCGTGAGATATCGCGAAGCCTGTTACGCGAGACGTGGTCTGGCGTACATCTACCTTGTAGCTGTTACGGCTTGTTCGCTTTCACTTATTGGAATGGCCGAGAAAAAAATTGTGTGCAACTACAGGCTGTAATGCCTTTAGGCAGCCAGCTCCTGGCCTTTTTATGTCACAATTTCCTAAGGCTAGGCCAAGGCCAAGGTAGGTAAATTCTTAACCTATATGCCGCTATATGCTATTCTTAGTCGTGTTCATATCAAAACAGTGAGTTACTTTAAGTTATTTACCGCCCAATAAAATTTGCCTGATCAGCTTGTTGTGCAGGAAAAGGCATTGGGTTCATTCCAGCAATGAATAACTGCTTACATTGGATCATCGGCAGATCGAACTGAACAGGTGCATGTGGCCCACACATTTAGATTCACTGCTTGATTCTCTTTTGCGTATTGTTTAATAGACCATTCCGGTAAACCGAAAAGAAAGAAGAAGAGACGGAAGAAGCAAAGCGTTCTATGAGAAATGTACGGTGCGCCTTGAGAACGCTCGGAAGTAATCCACCGTAAACTCGATATTCTGCGTCGCCTAAGAGTGAGAACTATTGTCATTAACTCTCTAACGAATTTAGACATAAGACAAGTCACGTTTAATCGTTTCATACGACTGTGGAACCGACGCACCACCGTATATTTCTCATACTCGCCTTTGCTTCTTTCGTCTGTTCTT